TGGGTGTGTAGAACATGATTATTTGCAATGAGCATATGTGAGCCATGTGTATGATGAGTATAAATGTGATATATGCCTTGATTAGTGTATATAAATGTTATCTCTATTACATTGGATTTATATTGGGCTTTTAGAATTGAAAAACATGTTAGAAGGGAATGAAATGACTTACATAGTTGCTACGTGGTCATTCCATTGTTGTATTTATATTTGAGCAATTAATTTGGGTATACAAAAGGGTGTATTATGGGTTGTATTCAAGGTGTTTGATAAAAGGTCTAGGTGGAGGCATTGTGTTCGATTTTGTGACGAGAGCTATTAAAGCTATGATTATTTTCATGAGGTGGAGTGAATGTCACATCATCCATGGGTGCATTGCATTGCACCATTACTTGTCATGGTTGTATAGATATCATTGTTGATTCAATAAGAGGACTCGGTGCCCAAGAGTTGTGAGCCCCTGTGAACATTGGCCAATGGGGTATGAAAGTGCACTATTTTATATTCATGTCAAGGAATTTGATTTTGGACATTTGGCATTTAGCATTTAGCATTTTGCATCATGGCATTCACATGAGTGAGTTATGTCATGGTGGTGTTCATGGGTTACACTGGGTTCATAGTCATTGGGATTATGTAGATTTTATGATTATTGTGGTTATTGTGATTACTTGGTTGACATTATTTGATAATGTGCTAAACATGTTATATGACTTGGTTATTTGTCTTATTTGGGTTGTGTCGGACTACCATGCTACGATAACTATAGTTAGGTTGCATAACCCCATTATTGTCACGAAGCCTAGATTTAAGAGCACGACCTTTCATCATTGGGATACCGATGATTTTTGTATGCCCTTGGAGATTCAAATGACGTAATTTATTTGTGTGATCCACCAATCCTATTGAGTTGTTGTACTCACCCCCATTATATTAACATTTTTTCAGGGTTAGACTTACTATGGAAGACGTTGGCATTTTGAGAAGTCTAGTGACTTGTTTTGGGAGACTTTATAATTTCGTGTATCTATGTGATTTCAGTTTCATTGTTTAATGGACTTATATATGTATTTGAGGCCTCCTGTATATCCTTGCCTCTTGTCACTTCATTTTTAAGATATGTAATGAGACCATGTAGACCAATGACTTATTGTAATTATCATTTTGTAAGTATGTATGCTTTCCTTGATATCTTTGCCATTTTTATGTATGATGTATATCATAGATGGATACTAGTATGGTAGGGTGGTAACTTATCAAAAAAAAAAAAATGGTAGGGTGGTAGAGTGTCTTACCAGCACCATTGTTATTTTCTTTCATTCCATCATTCTTGATTGTTGAGGGACTTGGATTCATGTTTTAGCACACCTTTGATGCATTCATGTTGGCCTAGGAGGTGCCCAAGGCCTTAGGCACCAAAAACTAGATTTTTTGGTGCCGTAGGACACCCTACGATCGATTGCACCTTTTTCGGGTCCAAAACCAAAAAGTTAAGTTCCCTACAACCGATCGCAGTTGCCCTAGAATCAATCGTAGTTGCTCATGTTCATAGCACCTGTTTTGATGGCCGAACTTCAATTGGCCATAACTTACTCATTTCAAATCCAAGTTAGGTCATTATTGTGCTCAAATTGATCGTCTCAAAACCAGATTTTCAATGGTTCCAGTATCATTCAATTATTCCAAACATGGCTTGAGTTATAACCCTTTTATTCAGGACTGGTCATAATTTTCTTATGCTAAAAATGCTTACTTTTGATGAAACTTTTCCTCTAGAGCCTAGTACCCTATAGGATGTTCATATATGTTTGGTATGACGTTTATGGACTCCATTTGGTACATCATTCATGGTTACGTTAGTTATGTAGCCTAATGTGGGCTTTAGTTTCAGCATTTTTGCTTTCGCATTTGAGTCTAGGTTAGTTTGACTTTAGTTTTAGCTTTTGCACTTGGTTCTCAGGTTCGGGTTTCATATCATTTCACTCATGAATTGGGTCACTTAGATTCGGGGCATGACAGGAATTCCTTTTTTATGGGAAAGTTATTAAAGGAAATAAATTATTCCTACATTTCATTGGTTCCCAAATGCCAAAACCCTTCTTCCCTACCCTTTATTAATATACAGTTGCTTAAAATTCCAAAAAATAATAATAATAAAATAAAAAATAAAAAACCCTTCTTCCCTAAATGACTACGTGCCCATTTCTTCTTGTAATTTCATGTACAACTCTATAGCTAAACTTCTAGCCAATAAGTTCAAAAGTGTACCCCACATTATTGATTCATCACAGACTGCCTTTGTTAAAGGTAGAAAAATCAGTGACAGTGTTTTACTTACTTAGGAACTCCTCCATGAATACCATAGGCCTTCTCCTTCACCTAGACATGATGTAAAGGGATATTTGAAGAAAGCCTTTGACTCAATCAGTAGGGGTTTCATCATTGATGTTCTGATTCTCCTAGGTTTTCCTCCTTTGTTCTCATCATGGATCAAGGAGTGTATCACTTCTCCCTCCTTTACAGTCTCATTAAATGGTGAATTGGCTATTTTAATGATGTTAAAGGGTTAAGGCAGGGTGATCCACTTTCTCTCACTCTCTCTTTGTAATAGTTATGGACTTCTTTTGCATTAAAAAAAAAAAAAAAAAAAAAAAAAAAAAAAAAATATATATATATATATATTTTTTTGAACCCCTCTTTCAAGTTCGATTGGAAGTGTAAAAAACTTGGCCTTTCTCACCTCTCATTAATTTATAGAAGATTCACTTTTTCTTTTTCATAGATACATAGTCTCTAACTATCCAAGTTCTTAAATAAGCTCTTGAAAAATTCTATAAACTCTCTAGACTTTCAGTTAGTCTTCAAGAGTAGCTGTGGATTTCTCCTCAAATCCGTTTCCGAGATGGGTCTCTTTCTCCATCGGACAACCATTCCTCGGCCTGTACCTAAAACTAGGATTCGACTGAGAGATCTTCGTCATCAAGCTTGTCCCAAAGAAATCCAATTTCACTTCAAGCCAGTAACATACAGAGGTCCTGTTTTCTTTCTTTCCCCCAGGATCTCCTATGAAATATAAAACATAATTCATATAGCATTTCTATAAATCCTGGATGGGGGATCGCTTGGAAGTGAGAAGCTAGGTGAAAGAAGAGATACTGACACCGCTTAAAGGTGCCTGTGGATCTATCTAGAAGTAAGCATCAAAGCTTACAAGCACACAAGTTCATCCTGTGTACCTGCCAAAATGGCATCGGAGTTTAGCACCTAGCAAGGTTTACTCATTTGACAGCCGTTGATTTTGCTTTTGTTCCCGCACATTCCTTTAGGTTTTCAAACAAAAAGGCTCTGCCGAATGCCATCGTTTATACATTGATCTAGTCAAGGCGGAGGAAGAAGCCAGAGAACGGGGTTGAAGTTGTTTTGCCGAATGAAAGGATTCGGTCTTAGAAGAAGCAAAATGGTATTGGAAGAGTTATCCTGCGATTCTTTACGCCGCGCGGATGAGTGGCAGACGCCTTTAGCGGATTAGCCTCTATAGGTAGGGGATGATAAAGACATAGCACCTAAGCGCTTTTCTGAACTCAGTGGCAGCGCGCTAAAAATGTGCGAAGTTCTTGAGGAATAGGTAGGAGAGGGGAGAGGGGACGCCTCTTGATCCAATCCGTCTTCCCCTGGCGAACCAAGGACCTATGGAAGTCGGGGCTACCCTGGGTTTGCCCGTTAATCTATGTTTTTGAAAGGGTTTTTCTTCGCTGGAAGTTTGACAGTAGTTCGAAGGAACATTCAGGTGCTCACGAGATAAGGGCTATTAGGTTTGGGTTTGGAGTTTGTGGACTTCAGCTAGCCTTTGCTTTGTTGGGCAAATAAAGATCCACCCCATACGGGCACCGCCTTTTGACCTCTCGTGTAAAGTATATTACACCTGCCCGAGGACTTCGTTCCAAGCTATCAAATCAAAAAGAATATTAAAGAAAAGCAACTGAATTTTTTTTTTTTTTTGAACCATCCGGACTTCAACATCTCATCCTTGCAAAGCTTAGATGTAGGATCTTTTGCTAATTAGACATTTGGGGTACCTTTTATTTCTACAAGGATTAGGGCAGTACTATCAATCTCCTCTAGAAAGGATCTCAGCCAGAGTCCCTCATTGGACGAACAAGTATCTTTCATATGCTGGTAGGCCACGACATCTCAGATCAGTTCTAGTCAGCAGCATTCACATCAACTGGGTAAATATATTCATTCTTCCTAAAAGCACCATTGCTGACCTAAACAAGATCTTCATGAAGTTTCTGTAGTCTAAACATTTATAGAAGTTGATTGGAGCTAAAATCTCACGGGAATGTGCTCACAAACTAAAGTCAATGGGTGGACTATAGGTGTGACGTCCCACATAGCATGGGGAGAAAGGTTTGAGACATAGCATGGGGAGAAAGGTGTGATGACCCGAATTTTTAGAATTTTAATTTAATTAGTTTATTATTTTTTAGACTGTCTAAATTAATTAATTATTTATTAAAGTTAGTGGCTTTTGAATTTTTGATTTAGTTTTGGGTTTTGACGTCCCACATAGCATGGTGGTGACATGGTATCCACTAAAAGTGATTCAATGGGTTTTGATTTTTCTGTCACCTATTTTATATATACTTTGATGGAGTTGGTAAATGGGAGGTTGGTGAAATGATGGAAAAGAAAAGAAGAAAGGAAAAGTTCGTGTGAAATGGGGCGGTTTTTTTGGTCCAATTTTCTTTTTGCTTTTGTTCACGTGGGCTGTTGCTTGGTTGAGAGGAAATAGCAAATGAAACGACTTTTGGTAGGGCCTACTAGGAGGGTTGTGGTTAAAATTCATTTGGGTGCTGGCTGTTCACGTGGGTGGTCTGTTTGGAGTAAGTTTTGGCTTTGTCTGGTGATGTAACAGTGATGGTCAACTGTTGGTGATAGTGGTGTGTCGATACAATTTGCCTATATAATTGGGTGCTTGTGACTTGGTGTGTATACAAAGACAGAAGAAAAATTAGAGAAGTTTGAGAGAGAAAAATAGAGCGACAGAGAGTTTGAGCAAACAGTGAGTGAGCTGAGAGTTGCAGAGGAGGCTGAGCTTGAGGACTTGTTGATTCAGTGAGGAAATCTCTTTTCAGTGTAGGGTTCTCTATACCTTGAATGGCATGGGAGGTTTTGATTAAATGTTTTATGAAATGTTTTTATTAAATGCATATTTATTTTGTTTATACTCACCTTATGATTTTTCCTACTGGAACTTTTGTCTCAACACCCTCCAGTTTCAGGTACCGAAGATGAACGAGGATCGCTAGAGACGGGCTTAGAATAAAAAGTCGGCGTTGTTAGTTATATTTTTTTTTATTTGGAGTTTTTTTTTTTGTATATTTGAGGAAATTGACTTTGTATAAAAGAGGGGGGTAATTTTTATGATCCTGGATACACCACATTTTTCCTCATTTTGACAACTGTCCATTTACGAATACAATACTTACAACGCTTCACACCATTAAATCAAGAATACAACAACTTTACATTTATATTGCTAATCATTATGACAAAATAAAAATTAGTTGGAAAATAGCAAGATGAATCACAGGTTGATGGCATAAATGCGTATTATTACTAATGTAGCATCTCAATTAGTTAATAACATGTTTGCTGAAGAAGATTATGCACAACAGAATGTTTAATGTGGAAGAAGCCTAGAAGTGATAGATAGCATAAGTAAAACATGGACATGATCACTCAAAATTTTGAAAGAAGACCTAAACTTCTGCTCTTGTTCTTCTAACCGTTAAATTACACTCTTCTTCCTTGCTTTCTTCTTCTATATTCCAAGAAAAGGAAAACAAATGTGAAAAGGAGAAGTATGTGTTTGGCCCCAATTCTCACCCTCGGTATTGGAAGGAAAAACTTGTGCAAGAGCTGTTCAAACAGACGTGCTCATGGAAGATGGCTTTTAATGTTTCTTCACTCCCTCCAGATGCAACCAGAAAAGCAGCGAAACAGAGCCTGGTAATGTACATTTGGTTATTTACCCATTGGTGCCATCGAAACTGCCTTGGGCATAGAAACTCCCCACATTTTTGCCTCTGCAACAGCTCGTTCTCTTTCCAAATCCCCTTTTAACATCCTTGCTGTTTCTTTTGGAGAATCATCCCTCTCAGACGCTTCCAGGTCCCACGTACGTCCAGAGCCTCCCCCATCTTCGTTCTTTGATATTCTTCCACCTCTCTCATCTTTGCTTCTTTTATTATCCTTGTCCCTGGATGATCTGTAGCTATGGTCGGCCTGGTTTGCCAGATAAGAGAGGGCAGTGACCACATCCCCAATGGGAGGACGGGCAAGAGCCTGTTCTTGGATACACATGGATGCCACAGATAGAGCCTGGTAGAGTCCCCGCATCGGATACCGACCCTGCAGTCGTGGGTCTGCCAACTTTGCACATTTCCGTCGGTCATTGATCAAGGGACGTGCCTGCAAATACAAAGAACATTACCACCACTCAATTGTTACACAAGCAATAAAGTGTATACAGTTGTAGGAGAAATGGCCTACCATATAGGCAAATAAACTACAAGATGATTAAGAGGATTACCCATGTGACAAGATTATGTTCTCGTTGAGGTCTGGTGCTGTCAATGGCTTTACATCCGGTAATAAGCTCCAAGAAGACTACCCCAAAACTGTAGACATCGGACTTCACAGTCAACTGTCCTGTCATGGCATATTCAGGAGCACAATATCCGTAAGTGCCCATGACCCTTGTGGAAACATGTGACTTGTCTCCTGTAGGACCAAGCTTCGCAAGCCCAAAGTCAGAAAGCTTTGGGTGATATCCTTCATCCAATAAGATGTTCGATGACTTGAAGTCCCTATAAATAACTGGAGGTTTTGCTTTGTCATGGAGGTATTCCAAACCTTTGGCAGCACCAGCAGCAATTTTCATTCTTGTGTTCCAATCTAATGGTTCTTTATCAGGTGGAAGATCTGTGAAAGATCATTTTAAATATTAGTGAGAATATAGTCCATTCCACTCTGACGGTAGTGGTAAAACACATCATAGATATTATGAAGCAAGAGATAAAAAAATTACTCATTCGTATAAAATCCAAGAGAAAACAAATCTTCCTATTAATCTCCTTCAATAGAACAAGGAATATTATACAGGCACATCAGTTTGAAATGTGTGAGATACGTATTTGTAATATTGGCATTGTTCGGAGTCAAAACTTGATGATCGAGTTGTATCTTCGTTTATATTGAGTCTCGGTCTTTTAGAGCTGAAGCTCAAGTGCCTCTTACTGTTGAATATTTCAGGCATGTGAATGAGGACAAATTAAATTTATATGTTTTGGGTTGGTTGTGAGAGCATTGAACTTTTTGGAGTCAAAACAGGTCAATTTTTAGGCCAGAGCAAAAATAGAACCGGTTTGTGTTTATAACAGAACCGGTTGCGTTCTGAACAAAACTGGATGCATTTTTCTGAATGTGTTTTGGTAACTTTTAGGTTAACTATTTTTACCCAAATAATTAGGGAAGTACTTGTATGATTTTAAAACCTCTTTTTACCCTATTGAAAGGGCTCTCTAGTACATATATAACATATCTATCTCTAACCCTATAGAAGATTGATTGCTTCAATTGGAAAAACAAGATTTTCATATTTTACATGAACAATGAAGCTTTTTTAGGGATCTAATTGTGTATTTTTAAGAGCACACTCTTAAACATGAGAGTGATTAGGGTGATGTTCTTCTAATGATGAACACGGAATCTTCAGAGTCTACACCATATTACAGATTGATAAGATAAGCAGAATTTCTTCTAGCCTTCACAAAATTCAGGTTTGAAGGAAAAGGAGGTCTCGATCACAGTACTAAGGGTTCAAAGCATTCGAGGAGTGTTTGTTGATCTACCAGCATCCCTTCTACAAGGATGAGTAAGTCTGAAGTCTATTGCATTGGGATGGGATTGTCAGAGATGGTTCTTCTCTCTGTTAGTTTCTGTTTAGGGCTTGAGCCCCTTTTTTAACCAAGAAAAGGAGAGAAAGAGAGAGAGACTGAAAAAAAGCACGCTTCGCATAATTAACAGTGTCTTCTTCAGCTATTTGGGTCTAGTAATGCACAGAGTTTTTCTGCCTGAAAGCAGGCTTTTCTTTTAAAAACAATGTATTTGTTTGGCAACAAATATTTTTGTTCTTTGTTTAGAACAAAAGAAAATGCGGCCATGCTAGGACTCACAAAGAATCCAATGAAATGGAATACTTGCCAAACAATATTCCAAGTATGGCTGCGAGCTAAGAAGCACGGAAACGAATATGGGACACGGATACGACACGGATACAGCAACACCGAAAATTCTAAAAAATTCGGACAAGAACACGGCAAATAAGAAATATATTATATATATATATATATATGTTGTTGTACTTTAAGAAATTAAGAATAATTTGTTGCCAAACAAAATGTAATAACATGAAATGAAATTTGACAAGTAATGTAGTTTGTTGATGAATTGAGGAGAGGATTCATTTGGTCTTTACTTTACCTTTTATAGAGATTCAAGTTGGTAACTTCCAGCAACTCCCATCATGTTCTTCAACTACCAGTATTCTGCGTTTACCGGAATAACTTCTTGTAGGTGCTACCACATTCATTCACTTCTAGTTTTAAGTTCAGCTTATAACTTCCATACCTTTGGCCGAAAGGAAGCACAAAAATATTTGTTGCCAAACAAAATGTAATAACAAGAAATGAAATTTGACAAGTAATGTAGTCTGTTGGTGTGTTGAGGAGGGGATTCATTTGTCTTTACTTCTAACTTTTATAGAGATTCAAGTAGGTAATTTCTTCAGCATGGTAACTTCCAGCAACTACCATCATGTTCTTCAACTACCAGTCTTGTGTGTGTACTGGAATAACTACTTGTAGCTGCTACCACATTCTTTCACAGCCAATCTAATGCTCAGCTTATAACTTCCTTACACCCACGTTCTGGTGTTGCACTTTGATTAGCTGAGTTGTCTTTCATACAAAACTCCACTAACTTCATGGTTCATGGTGGTTACCTAATCCCATAAAATCTCTCTAAGTGGTTGCATAAAGATAGGGTAGTTAAAACCAACTTGTTTCCTAGTTTTATGCTCAGCTTATAACTTCCATAAACCCACGTTCTGGTGTTTCACTTTGGTTAGTTGTCTTTCATGCAGAATTCCCCCAACTTCATGAGTGGTTATCTTATCCCATAAAATCTCTCTAGGAGGTTGCATGAAGATAGGGTAGTTGCAACCTAACTTGACGTCTACTAGAACCATTCAAGTTTCTAGTCTCTAAAGACTCCACATCATAGCAAACACTTTCATCATAACATATGTCACGGTTCAGCCTTTGATTGGCCTCTCAATCAACAATCTTGAAATATACTCTAACCCAACATGATCGGCCCACATCTCAGTCTTCCCCTAGTAACTGGTCACACGTCAGTCTTCCAGTGGCATTCAACTGATAATTTTGGTATAAATAGTATCATCTCAACTATTTTGGTTTAGAAACAAAAACCTCACAATTTGACCTAGTCAAAAGTGATGCTTCAATTGTAGCATAAGAGTGTAATCTATTCTCATCACCCCAGCATAATTTTTTTTCTTTTCGCTTAGCCACAATTATTTCATCACTAAGGCCCACTAGATCCAAGAACTTTTTACTAGTGTTCTTATCTTTCCTAATCTTCCTTGCATTCCCACATAAGCAAATTAAGACATCTCCCATCACCAACCACATGCTTTGTGGTTCATAGCCGGTTCCATTGTTGATTTTTATTGCAATAATAAAAATTAAATTTAGTCTTAATTTCTCAATATCAAGAATTGACCCTTGTAGGATTGACAGCCACTAAGAATTGAATCTTCAAACTCAACCTTTACCAGTACTTTAAGTTTACTACCACGCTACAACATTTCTGGACATATTTGTACTTACAAACAAAGCGTAACAAAACAGGGCTTGATTATAGTCTAGTAACTCCATAATTACAAATTGCACTTTATACAACAACAAAAAAATAAAAATGAGAAAGAAATTTTTATCAGATAAAGAGAATAATATAATAAAACGTTACCGTGGAGATGATCTTCTAATGATCCCGAGGGCATGAATTCATAGACAAGAAGCCGTTGGTCCCCATCAGCACAGTACCCAATCAAACTCACTAGGTTAGGATGATGTAGAAGGCTGAGCATAAGAACCTCCACAAGAAATTCCCTGTTGCCCTGAAGCCCATTTCTGTCCAATTGTTTAACAGCAACAACCTATGTAAAGCACATCTTTATCAGCACATATGGAAAGTCAAGAGAAACCAAAACAACTATAGCTTTTTTTCTCTGGGGTGGGGGTGGGGGACGGGGAGGTCAAGTGATTCCACGATTT